AGTCTGTTTTCTACATTTCTCAAAATGAGGCCTGCATGTAAAAGACAATTTCTATGCACTGAAGATAGCATAATTTTAGAGTTCTGAGAAATCTTCTTCAAGTAGAAGAAGTTCAAGTAGAAATCTTGTTCAAGTAGAAGTTCAGAAAACCTGTTGTTGTAATAAGATGGTACGAACCAGCTCATGTCATGTATAAATCATCATAGGAGAGTTCATATTGACTTTTTTCTACTAGTTTTATGTTTTAATTATCAGACTGATGGTAATCATAGTTGTAGTCAGTTGATAATCAAGTGTTTTGTATTTAGAATAATAATACAGTGAAATTACTACTCTAAGCTGACATGATATCTTTATGTAAATTTTTAGGAGACACTGATTTGAGAACAAAATATATTCACAAGCAAGCTACATGTGTTTATTAACAGCAAAGTCTATTTACTTTGTATTAGAAACTCTTTGTAGTATTAGATCCTAAATTTATTGGAATGCATATTTTTCAGGACATTTTTAACTTCTAAGCATTCACTGCACAAGATTCACGTGCTAAGGTTCCTCCCTTAGAAAGAGGCACCAATATTTTCCTTATGGTAGTAAAATCAGTGTATGAGCCACTGAAAAATGTTTAAATCTAATTAGAATTCTTACCTCAATGCTAATTTTGAGATTGATAGTTTTTTGTTTGTAGGAATTTGCACAGTTCTGGTTTGTTTTAAACAGATTTGGCATATTGCACTAATCTAGAGTTGCAACACTGTTATTAAAAAGCACTTTTATTTGTAGATGGGTACTCAAAGTACTAATGTTGAAATGTATTATTTTTTCAATACTATGTTACTTAAGATGTTGTTGTTGTTTCCTATAATTTTTATAAAATTATAAATTATATTTCTATGAACTAAAATGCTGCAGTAGTGCCATATGGTCTTTTCCAAAACACTTTCTGTTTGTGTTAACATGTTTATATTACTTTACCTCATTGGAAATTAAAATGTTGAATAATGTGGACTGATTATTTCCTTTCATTTTACATATCTTGAGTGACAAATTATTTTTAATGAACTAGTTAATTGAAGACAAGGTGCATTCTTCATATGTAAAATGTTACTGAAATTCCAGTATTTCTTGAGGTGAAGACTCAAATACTTGTTAACAAGTAGATGGTTCTTCTGAAAGGTAATGCGTTGAACTTTAAAAGTGAGTTTAGAAACTGTGTCCAAATTCTTTGAAAGTCATTGTCATATAGTCACTTACTGATTCTAGACTCAAATACTTGTTAACAAGTAGATGGATCTTCTGAAAGGTAATGTGTTGAACTTTAAAAGTGAGTTTGGAAACTGTGTCCAAATTCTTTGGAAGTCATTGTCATATAGTCACTTACTGTTTCTAATATGTTCTTTCACTTATTTTAACTCCTGTTAAGTTATTACAGCTATTAAGGTATAAACTTAGGTTGTGTAAGGACAGTAGTTGTTTGCTAGAGGTCTTTTAAAATAAATGTCATTTCAGAGGGATAACTAAATACTTGCCTCAGTTTTTAAAGGAAAATTTGTGAATGCTTAAAACACTGGCATGCTGAATTTATTTTTAGTGTTTGCTGTCAAGTTAAGCTCAGGAAACAGTTTGTATTTCAAAAATTGAAATTTGGTGTAGTATTTGAGCTAAAAAGGTAGAAGATGAACTCATACACCTTATGAAGCTATTTGCTTCATATATTTATGAAGATAAATGGCCATTGTCTTTTAAAACAAAGTATGAGTTGAAAGATTTTATGGAATCTACATATATGTGAAGCAAATGCCAGGACTTTTCATATGCCTTTTTTCTTAGGTATTATTTCCTTTTATCATATAACATAATAAAAATGATTCCCGTATTGTTCAGCATACTTCTGATGGTTCTTACTGGAAACATTGTAGCTACCAGTAACTAAAAATGTTTAGCTCTGACAAAAGATTTGTGGGCCTCTAAGAAAAAGCTCAAAACAGATAACCTAAGTGATAATGTGGAAGTGGCAATTAAGAAAATGAATTAGTCTGGTGTAGGTAGTACATGTGTTTGGTAAATAATAACTATCATGACTCCCAAGGTCCCTGCACTTTGCTACCTGCATTGTTAAACCACCTGAAAAGCTTCTGCTAAATATATTAGTGTTAAATATATTTTAGAAACTATGAGGAAGATCCCTAAGGGTTTGTACTTATCCATGGAACTAAACAATGCACATAGAGCTAGGATTGGAGAATAGAGTTTTGCACTTGTGAAATAGGTATAAACCATGCTCAAAGCAGCATCCTATGAGGAGCATATAAAGCCAGAGAGGAGCTTGTTATCCTATTATTGAACAGAATTTGTAACTGAGTACTGTAAGTCAAAGAATTATTTTACATGGTAGAAATAAATGGGGCTATGAAAACAAAGAAGTCTCAAACCTTCCATCTTTGAGAAGGAGAGAGATCACGTTGTGTCCATCTTTCCACTCTGCAGTACCATTTCTAGTCTTTAGTTCTGTAGATAGTGCTCATCTTTCATTTTTGTTTTTGTTTCTAGATGTAAACATTGTCACAAGGATGCAGTTTTCAAGTGGAAGTTGTAGGAAACAGCCTTGTTTTGATTTCTGGAGGAGAGGCATATACATTCCACCAACTTGCTTCCTCAGCAATTTCTTCTGATACCTCCTCCTTGCATTTAATGACTTACAAACACATCATATAGTCAAGTAACTTCTCTGTAGCTCAGACAAAGATAAATAAACCCATGCACCTCAAGCAAACTTTGCTCATGACTCTCTCTAGAGTAGGTAGTGTTAGAAAACTTTAGGAATTCCCAATAAGAGAATTCATTTTAATGTTCACAATTTGGAAACATTTGAAGTGTTTAAGATTTAGGTCTTTCATTGAAATGTAGAAAAGGTCCTTGTTTTACCCACACCTTAATTAAAAGCAGGTGCATGCTTTATGAATACTGCAGTAAGAAGATGATTCCAGTGGCTCTGTCAAATGTCAAGATAGGTCTAATTTATCCAGCAAGCATTCATTCTTTAGGAAATATGGTACTAAAAAAATGATAGGACCGTACATTTTATAATTAGATAAAAACAAAAACTAACTTATATGAAAGCTGGAAAGTCATATACCTGCCATGATACAAACATTACTAGTTTTAGTCAGATTGTCGTAACTCAGGAAGTACAGGCTCTGATCCAGCTTCATTTGCTTAATAAAAAAACTTGTTCTCATGCTAGTTAAATATATTAAAAAAAAAATCCAAGGAAAGACTTGCTTTTAAGAAATGTTATGTCTTATTTAACACTTTTTCTGAATGCATAGCTTGTTAAATTCTAAGCTAAGGATGAAAAGCAAAGTTCAATATTAATATTGTTCAGAAGCTCTTTCCAGAACTACTTATACCTCTCAAGTTGTGTGCCAGTAGCAACTGGAAGAATATGCTCCAGGTAGGTGTTGAGGGTGCATGAATAGCTATTCAGAAATAGCTTGCTCCTTGATGAATTTACAGTGCTTTTCCTAAAGTGTTTCAGCAGGGAGATGCCTTTTGCTATATTTTACACAGCAAGAAGTATAAGGTTGAGTTCTCCACTCAGTGTGCAAAGCATCTTGGCAATTTAGTCAAAAAAGGATACTACTAATTTATCCTTTTTTTCCTGAAACCTTTTGTGTGTACATAAGAATATCTCTTCAGTTAAAGTTTCGTAGTGTCTTAAATAACATACCACAATGGAATGTCACTTAGATATCTGCTATTGTACTGACATGTTGCACTACCTCATTCCTGCATAGAAACTATTGTAAGTTTTGTATGGTATTTCTAGACATTTTTTTGTCTACAGGATGTCAATCACTGTTACTGTCATTTCAAGTGATACAATTTGAATAATGGATGTAGTGAAAGTACTACAAAGTTATGGTCTCATATGGTACTTGAAGTTGTAAATTTGATACTCTGCAGTATTTAATTTTAACTTTTCAGATCTTAATCATACTTCAAGAAATGGAATGTTCAAACTAGCAATTAAGATGATTCACTGGATTTTCAGAGAGAGGCTAGATGGCCTCATTTTGTGAAATTCTTGGTTTATGCAGGACACAGTAGCACAAATGACCATTTATAGTTCTCCTTTAGATGCTTGTTTTATATGCACAAATTGTTCATTCTGCCTACTCGTAATTTGCACAAACCAACAACGTACACAAATGGGAGCATGGAAAGGTGAGAGTTACAATTTAAATGTGTAGCCTTCTGTGCCAGCTCATTGAATTAAGGCATGTCATGAAGTGTGGTGGCAGTGCTGGGGAGCTGCAGATTCTTTTAGAGCTTGTACTTGAAAGCAGTATTAGGAAATGGAAAATGTTTGGTTTTGACCTATGAAAACAAATACTCATGTCTGAAAGTGGTAACAAGCTGTAATACATAGCTGTTT